AGGTAGGAACTTATGGGGATCCATAATATCTAATTTAAAAATATCAGATTTTTTTACTACTAAAGTATCTATAAAATTTGAACATAAAGTTTTTAACAATTTTTCTACCTCATATTTAAGCCTTTATAAGAGGGGCATTTCACTTTGGAATAATGTATTAAACTCATTTACCAAACCAAGCACATAAATCATGAATTCAAAGTAAATCTTTGTAAAAGCAATTTCCAAAGTTTTTCCAATTTCTTCAATAGTTTTTGAAGGATCTTCAGAATAAGCCAATCGAAAATTCGCTTTTAGAGGCTCATACTGATCTAATATTCTTTTAGTACATTGTTCGACTTACAACCAACGTGTATTACTAGGTAAAAGTATTTGATGTAAATCTGTTTTAAAAAATATCTGAAATTCTTTAAAGCGGTCCTGTCTTAGAGCACTGCGGTTAAAATGTGCTCCTATATTTCTCAAAACATCCTCAATTGATCTTGGCATTTCCAAACAGGCTTTTGAAGATGCCAAGTTTATCATATGGCAGGAACACTTGATAAGAGCAATACATGGTAATTCTCTTTTAATTAGAGAAAATACACTGAAAAAAAAAATCATGTAAATTTCCGGTAATGGAGATTGGTTATTTTGATGCCTTGTTGATAACTGAAATATTCCATTTCATTATTATTTTACATGTAAAATGTAATAGCATAATTGACGTGTAACTCATTTATATTTTTTATATTTTTTATATAAAACATTTACATTTTTAATGTAATATGTTTTTTATTTGAAATGTATTTATACATGATAACATTAACATGCCGATGCGTGGGCAGCATGCGCGAATTCCCAGCCAATAGGCTTCTTCTCCGGTTACATATGAAATGTAATTTTGCGATTTTTACTACACTCCGAATGTAAAAAAACATTTAAACCTGTAATATTAAGACTAATAAAGTATATTTACATTTGAAATAATGCAGTAAGACGTTATAATTGTATTTTTTACATTTAGTTCGTTAAATTTACTTGTTGTATCAATAATTAATACATAACATTAGTAATTTTACAAACAAAAATGTTTATTTACTTGAAATACATAAAAATTAGACGAAAATAAAGGTAATTTTACAATTTGTCGTAAAAATTAGGAATTTATATGGTAATAATCCTGTAACTTTACATTTAAATGTAATAATTTTTTTCAGTGTAGAGACAAGTTATTTCCAACCATGACGTTTCTGGTATCTGTTGAAATTCCAACTAAGTTCTCAAGAGGTATTTTTTTGTCTTCTAAGCATTTTAATAATGCTGAATATAAAGAGTGTGCATCACCTTTGCTAATTTCCACCATATCCAAAAACCTTGTGCTTAATTTACTCTTATCAAAATAAATAATCACAAAAGCACACTGTTTAAGTGAACCAATGTCCGTCGTTTCATCAATAATTATAGAGAAAAAATTGCCTTTCTCTTTAATTGCCTCGGTTAAATTTTTTAAAACATTAGGAGCTAAAACATTTTTTAATATTGCAGTAACTTTGGTTCGCTTTAATTTAATTTTTTTTGCAACTTCTGGATCAGAAAAAACATCTGCTCATACTTCAGTTAAATCATCCATTAAGGAAAATGGTAAATTTCTAGCAGCTAAAAGGGCTGCCAGTTTAAGTTCCCCATATTTAACTTTGTCATCTAAATTGGGAGTATTTAACATTTCCCTAAGATTCTGCGTTTTGCTGTGTCTAATTAAGTCATTTTTATGAGGAAATATATCAACGTTGCATATTCTACAATGTGCATAACTTTGTACTTTAGAGTGTCTAGGTGTTGAAGCAGGTGTTTTGGCCTTTGTAAGCCATTGTTGAAATTCTTGTTGTTCTAACCACTCTGAGCGAAATTTAAAGTTGCGGTGTGTTGTATGTGAATTTTTTAATTATTTATCACCACTGGTGGAGTCTAAACAATGTACTTACGACGGTGCCCAAGTAGCAAAATAGGTTTTTTTAAGGCATACTAGGGCTTCATAAAACTACTCTTAAGGGTAATTTGCCTTGCTTAGTTAAAACCTATTTGCTTTAACAGCAGCTATAAAGCTTCGATACAACCATCATAGGGCTAAAAAGGAGAATCCTATCGCTGTCCTTAGGAGCAATTTGTGTGTCAGCCACAAAGCAATTTTGCTTTATTGTATTACTCCTAAGGCACACCTTACAGCAGCCATAAAACCTACCTTACAGCTGTCATAAAACTTGCTAAGTGCAATAGGTTTTAAGGAGGTAGTGTGTTTTTGTCATAAACACATTTTAGCTGACAATTTGTACTTATTGATATACCTTTTTACTTTATTGTTGTACTTTGTAAATTCCATATTGCTTTAATCAAATACTTGTTTGGTATATTGTTGCCTTATGGAACACTAAGCTGTTTCACAAGCATAGGCCATTATTGATTTTAAAAACTTAATAAGAAAATTATTATCTTTTGTCAACCAATAACTTTCGGATGCAAAAATCATAAACAAATACCACTTTACTGATAAAAGTTGATTGCCGAGACACAAAACGTATGATGCCCACTAAAATGCGCTAAGTTTAAACAATTTTAAAGGCTTTAGCTAAATTACTTACCCGATCTACATTCCGATTTTTAAGCTATCTCTTATCGAAAAAATATTCTCTAGCATTAACATGCTCGTAAAAACCAAATTTTTTGAAATTTTCTGAAAAATATTATCTATTTGTATTTTAGATTAAAATTATTTCATTATGGCGCGCCCAATGCCCAAACTAGGTTGCATTAATTCAATTTTTTTTCTTTTTACTTAAACTTTGAGACTGACCAATGCTGGTAATTAATTATATAATTTATTTTTTCATTTTCCAGTGTTGCCACATTAGTATTTTTGGAAATTAATTTATAAAATACAGGGTTATCTTCAACTAGTGTAACAAACCATGCCAACGTGATCTACGGATCAAAATAAGTCGATTTAACCCAAATTACCTATATACTAAGTTGCTTCGTTTAGTCGTTAGAGGCCTTTAAAGTTTTGAAAAATAACTATTTTTTAAAATATCTTAAAAACGTATTAATGGATTTTGAATATTTTTGGAATATAAGTTTTAACTGCCAATTAACGTAGTTTGGTGCTACACTCAGTTATCTTTAAAAAAAGAATAATCAGAAAAGCAAGGTTAGGTACTAATTTTCGCTTGTATTTTTTAATGTTGATGTAATGGTTACCAATTTGCTAACAAATAGAAAGCTCACTTTGTTTAAAAACTTTTTTGTCTCCTGTAAAAGTTTGATTGGATGAGCAGTTTAGCCTGAAAAAAATTATTTTGTAATGTCTGCATACCTATCGATATATCACGATAGTTACTAAAGGGTGGGCCATCTATAAGTTGAATTTTAAACTACGTGCTATTAATGAAGCTTTTAACTTAAGCGCCATGAATTGTTGATGATGGTTTAGTATTAACCTTCCGATTACAAAATATGCACCAAATAAATTTGGATCAACGTTTCGAAATACTCAAAACTTACTTTGAATGTGACTGTGATCGCAGAGACGGCAAGAAAATTGCGTTTGGAAGTAATGAGGCGCCGTCAAACCAAAGTATTACAAATTTGATCAAAAAATTGCGCAGAAATGGAATGCTGGTGGACATAAAACATGTTTCGCCTACTCGTCCTAGACGTACACCTGAAGCAATCGCTGCTGTGGCCGAAAATGTACGCATGAACGCGTCAACCTCAACTCGGCGCAGATGTCAACAACTCGGCGTTTCCTGTACCACTCTGAGGATGATTCTGCACAAAGACCTCGGTATGTTTGCGTACAAAGTCCAGCTTGTTCAGGAGTTAAAGCAAGTTGACCATCCACAACGTTTTCGATTTGCTGAGTGGGCTTTAAACCAGTTGAACGATGACCCAAATTTTGCAAGAAAAATCATCTTTTCGGATAAGGCGCATATTTACCTCGGAGGTTATGTCAACAAGCAAAACTGTAGGATTTGGGCCACGGAAAATCCACACGTCGCCGTAACAAAGCCTATTCACCATTTAAAACAAAACATTCAAGCTCAAATTGCCTAAATAGTGCAGCAAACTTTTGACAAAGTGCTCGAAAATTGGTGTTCCAGGATGGGCTACTGCGGAGCCAGCTGAGGTGGCCACTTAAATAAAATCATTTTCCATACTTAATCGGAAGAAACATTGTATCAAATAAAGCAAAATTCGTTGAAAAAAAATCAGTTTTTCTTGTTCTCATTGCTATTTTATAATTCAACATAAACATGGCCCGAAAATTATTGTACCCTACATTATAAATCTAGAGATTCCTTTTCTGAAAATAGGTCATTTTGACTCAACGCAGTTGCTTAGTTTGGCAGATAAAAAGTGAAATACAGAGTGTTGAAATGTTTTTTAAATTTTAAAGGTCTCTAGCGGCCAAAGCAAGCAACTTAATATATAGGTAAGTTGGGTTAAATCGACTTATTTTGATTCGTAAATCATTATACTAGTTGTAGATCGCTTTGTATATTACGAACATTTTCGAACAGTTTTATTTAGGACGTATCTTCTGAAGTAGCTTGATTAAAAATGATCTTTAACTTTAGTCCTTCGGAGGGGACTTTAAGCCGTCGGTCCGTTCCTACCCCTAACCCGCACAAGTCATTCAGTTGGCTTATGGGACATCTTAGTTTGGATGTAAGGGTGGAACTAAAAGAGCACTTTATAACTTTATAACTTTAAATAAATTTTACTAAGAAGGATAATATATGAACATACTAATTAACAAATACTTACACAACAAAATATAGTATTCTAAATACCTAAATTAAATTATTAAAAATATAACCATTTTATAATAACACAATAAAAAGTAAATGACTAAACACAGAAAACTTTCAGTGGATTGAAAAAAAACTCAAAGTTGGGTGACAAATAAATGCTAAGTAAATGGTTTTTTGTTACCAAAACGTAGGTACTCAATAATAAATATTTTATTCACTCTCTTCATCAAACTCAGTATTCATGTGCTCAGAATCATCTTCGGAAGTCTCTGAAGAATCATCATGTGTAAAGCAAGGAAGGTCTGGGCATTTAAGTAGAGCCAAAACATCACCTGATAATGTTTTTTTTGGTCTTATAGTTTTTTGGCGGTAATGGGCTATTACCGGGTCTGAGGACACTAATAAAATTCGTATTAGATCTTTATTCGTGGCAAAACGTGATATTTTTTGAGTATGATGCTCGCGATATCGCCGGCAATCTTTGTGACGTGCCTCTTGGGCCTCCTCAGATAGTTGGCCAATAGGCACGTTACCATGTTTAATAATATCTGTAGAATGAAACAACAGTTTATGGACAGTAACAGACATGTAGTACCACGAATAAAGAGCTAAATACTGATCTGTTGTTTTACTGCAATATTCCTCGAATTTTGTAAGGTCAAACTGTGTCCAATATCACACCTAACTGCTTGATTAATGTTTTGTTGACTCCTGTTATATCTGAGCTTTTTTCTGGATTATTAAAAAAAGCTCTTGCGGTATTTCCGTCATTACTGGAACCGAAACCAGGTTTTGGCTTGTCTACGTCTAAACCCATCTCATTTTTAAATCTTTTTTGAATCTCTTGTTTTCTAATTTTAAATTCTTCTTGTTGTTCTTTACCTCTAAGCTGCCATTGTTTGTAATTTAATTTGTAACCTATATGAAGTAAACATTCGAACGACCTTATTCGTGCGTGTAACGGAGACAAGCCAAATGCATAATTTTCATTTTTAATTTGTGTGTTGTTGGGCTTCATGTTCATATTTTTTGGAGTTGCGCCACAGATATAACAGGTTTGTGATGATTTTGTTTCGGTTAGGATATTGCACAGTTTTCCATCTACCATTGTTAGGTGAAGTTCATGATGAATATTAATTTGAATATAATTTTTTAAAATAATAACTGTCGGTATTAATTTAATTATTTGCAATTTTATTTTTTTTTGTCTCCTCACTTACCATTTTGGTAGTTTCTTTTGATAATAAAAATTTTATAGGCCGACAAAGTTTAGTGGAAGATGGGCGATCGTTTTGCCATAGAAAAATATTTTTGTTTTTTATTGGATTAAGTTTGATTGGCACTAGTGAATACATAAATAAATATTCATCATTAACTTCTTGGTTTTGAAACATTTGCTTATATTTACTGTGCCCAGAGCTTCCATCACAACCATACTTACTGACTAAAATAAGGTCTAATACTTTTAAATTCATCATTGACGCATGCTGCTGAAGTACAGATTGTTGTACGCTTACTAGACGTTTGGCGGTATGATCCATTAAGGCTTGAAGGTCGATCATTTCAGCTCGAGTTTCGTTTATAAAAATATTTTCTTCGGGAGGACAGCATTCCATTTTTGCTTCCTGAATCTGTTTATAAGAAGGATATAGTTCATGACCTGCTTTAATCGCACTTTTTCGTAGGTTTATATAGGATTGCTTAGTTAGTCTGCAATCCACAAAAATGGCTAATGCTTCTTCTTTGGAATACTGTCTTGGTTTTTGGGCATTCTCTTTTTCGCATAGATGTTTTATTTCAGTTGATCTGCCAGGAGCTGCGGAGCTGATTTCTTTTACTAGGTTAGCTGCATCTTTTTTCCCATCATTTCTTAAAGCAATTTCAGCAGCAAATGTTATTTCTTCCGTGCTGGATTTTAGTAAGTGTTCAACTTTTTGTTTTTTTGATTTATAAAGAACTTCTTTAAATGGCTTTGGTGGGCGTCCCACAATTTTGTGTGCTTTTTCTTTTAAAAACTCTTCTGTTGTGGCAGTAACAAAATAAATAGAGCCATTTTCCAACCACTTATCATACCTTACTAAAAATCGATCAATTCTTTTTCCGGACTTTCTCCATCTTATATTAATTTTGTTACAGAAATCTTTAATAACAGTTTTCCACTGTTTTTGTGTACTAGATGATACATTTTCAACTTTAAGGCTAAAATGTTTCACAATCGATTTAAATATTTGTTCTATAAGATTTTCCTTACTGGAATCATTCCAGAATTGAAACATTGTTTTTTTCGATATTTCGTACATTTTGTCTAAAAATTAAAACAATTTTTTCAATCAAAGCCAGCTTAATTAAGAAAAAGACATTTAAAGTTAATACTCTACAACTTCTGCGTTAAACAAATTTCCCAACAGCGTATACTTGTATCAACGAATTTATAGCATAGGATGTGTCAAAATTTGATATAGGTAAATGTGTATGAAGAGGAGGGTTTTCGCATATTTTTTCGGTCACTTCCGGTTTCACCGGAAATGGGTTCAGGTTCAAAAAATTAAATAGAAACCCCTGTATATATTTACATTCTCGGATTTTTGACATAATTCTGCACTTAAATGTTAATTTTTAATGCCTTTTGAGCAATTTTTAACAATGCATCTAGGCCACCTTGATGTAATATTAAAAACGGATAAAAAGTACGCGTAAAAACTTTTAACAAATATTAATGAATATAATTTGCTCATTGCGCAAGCAATACATGCGATAAACAACTTAAGATGCATATTAATTGTTAATATTTTCTTTACTAGAGGTTTACATTTTTGACTGGGATAAGTTTCGCGATTTTTTGCGATTTTTTTGGTTAACAGTTTTTAGTAGTCTACATCTTTGTCTAATAAAAAATATATATTTTGGCTTGGCATTCGTTGGCCTTCCTATTTTTTTACTCTGCAAAACTTAAAAAATTAAATATTCATGGTACTTACCTTAGGGCGATTCCGCGGGAGACGATTTTTGACATACATTTTTAAATCAAAGAGTTTATTACTTTTTTATACCAATATAAAGAGAAAGATATATATTTAATAATAAAAAAACTTTTAAGAACTTAAGTTATTATTTGAATTTTTTGGCGCGCTCAGAAATGGTGGCGCCTGAAGACTTGATGCAAACTATTCATCGACACTTGATAATTTTTCCACGAAATCGCTATTACCGGTGGTTTGAGGTTATATTTCACTGATGAATATTGAAGTCATAACATTTGTTTATTGCCTTATATAAAAAAATTAAATATTTTTTATTATTTTTCTAACAATATTAATTAAATAAGAAACCATTGTTGGTCAGTTGCACCCGCGATATAAAAGAAATGAAAGTTTGGTTTTCTTGAAGAAATAAATTGGTAATTTTTTGAAACTTTGTAGAAGTAAGAAGAAATAAAAGGAAAACTTGATTCTGTCGCAATAGAACGTAAGTTGTCATTTTAATTAAAATTAACGTTGACTAAAATGAGTTGCACCCGCGATTAAAATATTAGAATCGCGGGTGCAACAGTTATGACTCTTACGATTACATTAGGGAATTTTTAGCGAGTTACCGGTAATCAGGGCCGGATTTAGCACGGGGCCAGCGAGGCCACGGCCCTAGGTCCCCCACCATTTAGGGGCCCCCACCAATGCAATATGTAGCTTTTTAATGAAACAAATATGAAAAAAATTGGTTATACCGCGAGAATCCTCTTATTTTCAATTAATTTTTCGTAGACCTAACTCTAATTTTTCGCGGATTTTTTATCGCTTATCCGCTTGCAAATCAGAATGTAAATTATCATACTCAAAGTTTTGTCGCGCTAAGACGTTTTATAAAGTCTATAGTCATAAGTTATGACTCATAACAATTTTAAGCAGTTGCTCGTTTAGTGCTTGTTGTAACGTTTTTGTAAATACAGGCAAAAAGTCAATTATTTATAATCTAATATTAAAGTTAGTTTTTGTCCCATTGGAGTGTTGTGGAATATTTTCCGGTGTTTTCAAAATACTGTTTTGTGCATTTCTTTGTTCAAAAGATTGTTTTATTGTTTGATTTTGTATGAAAAACAGACAAATAATACGATCTTTGATGCACTTTTTTCAGTTTGCGGTATGTATTAAAAATACAAACAAAACATAGATCAATTTATATTTTACTTGATTAAAATGTATTCGTATTCGTATTATTCAAAATATATAAAATATAAAGTATATAAAAACACTTTCATTCACAATTCTATTCTACTTTCTACGTTTTTATAGTTTTGCATACGAATTTATAATTTATTCAGACTTGGGTAAAATGTATATAAGGTTATGTTCGTATTATTCCAAATATACAGGGTGATTTAGACTTGTGGTGACAAAAGCCCAGGCGAAATTTCTCTCATCAAAATATGAAAAAAGGTTCTTATAAACACGTGTCCGAAAATGCTTCATTATCGAGATACAGGGTGTTTCGTTTAAAAAAAATGAGTTTTTTATTTATAGCTTAAAAACGCTAAATGATTCAAGGATAATAAAAAATCACATAAAGTTCATCTAGCTTAAAAATTTACCGAGTTTTAATTTCCCAAGTGTCAAATTTTTTTAAAATATTGAGGGCCCCCACCAAATGTCGGCCCCAGGGCCCTAAAACTCCTAATCCGGCCCTGCCGGTAATAAAAAGTTAAAACCATTCTATTTTAGCGAGTAACCGGTAACTGCATAAAATGTCAAATCAGTAACCGCGGTTAATAATTGAGCTCGGAAAGCAATTGTTATTAACGCTGAAGAATTTTATGATCTGGCTCGTCGCCTTTCTCCAAAAATTTCTTTTATATTTGTATCCCAAAAACAAATTAAAGAATGAAAAACCATGTTAAATGATAGGTGGAAAGGACTAAAAAATATACCAGCCATTTAATCAAAACATTTTTTTCAATTTGAGGAGGGTAAGAGCATTTGTGTTGCACGAACGTCGAAGTCTAATTTGAAAAGCAAATTAGTTTTGACAACTGCTACTAAAAAAAAACGTAGAAAAGTTACAAAAAAAGTTACGCAAAAGTTAGGCGTTTCTGATGTTTACAGCGATTCTGAAGAAAACCTTAAGGCTGATAAATCGCCGACTATTCCAAACAAATAATTTATTAAAGTTACATAGGAAAGTGCTAATTAGTGATAATACAGCATCTATGATCTCATATCTTTAATTTAAAGTTACATGGAAATGTTTATATTCACTACAGTGAGACGTGTTGCACCCGCGATAATTTTATGTTGCACCCGCGACTGGATAAAAAGTGAATAATTTATAATATTTATTTATTTTAATAATTTTATTTAAGTTAATGGTTAGTTTGTTTTGTATTCTTTTAGAGAATGTAAAAATAATTCAATAAATATTCCATAATTAACAGACTTTTTTCATTCTAGCTTCATGAACTTTAATGGTGGGCCGATTTCGTTGCACCCGCGATAGCACTTTGAACCTGTCCTGTGTCTATTTATACATTTTATTAAATGTTTTTTATATTAATTTTTGTAAAACAGATTATAATGAAATCCTGCGACCAGTCATTTCTTTAAAAAGAGTTTTTATTTTCTTAGTAAGAAGCCTTAAGTGAGTCTAAATGTTGCACCCGCGAGTACGGAATCGCCCCTTATCAGTTCTTGCCAAAAACAAAAAAAAAACACGAATTTTCTAAAATTTTATGTACCCAACACAACTAATTGACAGGACTAATGTCAGTTATGAAATGTTTAAGGCGATTTTTGCTTTTCACGGCCCACTAAGCTATAAAAAAAATCGCAAAAATCGTAGTTTTTATTAAAACGATTGCATTAAAAATAGACTTTCTTTTAAAGATCTGACTTTGAGCATTTATAAAAAAGTCTTCGTAGAGTATTTTCAAAAAGCAATTATGTTTTTACAAGTTTGAATATGTTTTTAATAAAACAATAGTGGCAAATTATACATTTTCAATAATGACTTATTGCCACCTAGTTTGGGCATAGGGCCCACACATGGCGGAGCAATATTTTCTAATTTAAATGGCGGTTTCAGTTATAAAACAATGTACTCTTGCAAACAACTGCTAAAAAGTTTAATTGCTTTAAAAAGTGTTTACAACTATTTGTTAAAACTAATAAGCCCTATGACTGCAATTTTCAACGCAATCATAAAACCAATTGGCATTTTGTGTGAGCATTTTAAAACAACTTTGCAGTATGTTCATCAAAAGTATCGCCATCAGGGCTATACTGCTTTGTCAGATGATAACATAACCTAAAAATTGTCAAATGTTTTTTATTGTTTCCGAAAGTTCGCCATCTTCCGAAGTTTCGCAGTCTTCTACCGCATTAATTGCTGTGATAGAATGATGCGGATTTAGCTCTTGGTCGGAACAGGACGTTGAAGGAATACAATTATTCCTTCAACGATGTTTTGCCAACAACACAGAAGAACAACTTTTAACAGCTCTTACAGTGGCCAACTTTGTTTTTCTATAAAAATTTCCACTTTTTTTAACTTTTAACCACTGCTCTAAAAAAACTTGTCATGCATGGCGGCGACATGTTGACAAGAGTTATTTTCTTCACGATTATCAAGACAAAAACGTTTTAAGAAAGAAATAATAGCAACAAAATGGTTTACACTCATGCAAATTTGCAAATTGGAAAGCAAATTGGTTATATTAAAGACCTATTGCTGCTCTACTAGGAACAATCATAAAACCTTTTTACTGTTTGGTTCTGTAACATTCTTACATAGAGGAAAAGTAGTCCTAAGACTAAATGCTCCTATGAGTCGGCTTTAACAGATGCGTTAAAGCCAACTTTTCGAGCACCATTAAAACCAATAGGCTTTTGATAAACCTTCATAAAGCTTATTGGACTATATGCTTTTCTTAGGGCCAAGTTTCCCTAAAAAAGCATTATTGGTTAACAGTAATAAATCAATGTTAAGATCAAATGGTTATAATTGCAAAAAGGTTTTAATACTTTACTTTAAAGTTGCTCATAAAGTCTAATCATAAAGCTTCATTATCTCAAGACCAACTAGCACAAAGTAGAGCTGCAATAAAACAAATAGCATGTTTTGATGCATTTATAAAGCTTTCATAAAACAGTAAAGCATTATCGGTGGCAACCCTTTGCTACTTGGGTGGACTAGTGGTTAGTTCTGCTGACTACAAGCCGGAGGTCGTGGGTTCGAATCCCACCAGGGGTATGGCTGTTTATTTGTGTTTGTCCTATTGTGTAATAGTCCTTCGGAGGGGACTTTAAGCCCGCGG